TTAGTGGATAAAGATGTGGTCTATATACTCAATGAAATACTACACAGTGAAGAAAAAAATGAAATTTTACCATATGTGACACCATGGATGTAACCATAGGGATTATGCTTAGTGAATAAGTCTGAAGGAGAAAGACAAATATCAGATGATTTCACTCATGTGAAATATAAAGCAAGGAAACAGACAAAACAAAAACAAAACAAACCCTTGAAATCCTATTGTAGATCTAATACTACCACAGCAGGAGGGGAAGGAGGAAATGGGGGGGGAGGGAGCCTATGGACTGTAGCGGAGGATTATGGGCTATTTGGTGGTAGGCATGTGGTGGCAAACATATCTGAAGAGGTGTAAACATGTACCCCTAAAACATATACAGTGTTGTAAACCAAAATTACCTTAACAAATAAGTTCATTTTTCCAAAAAGAAAATCACTGTCTACTATTTTAACCCCATTATGGAGATTAACAAAACATGTTTTTGTTTTTTTTCTAAAGTGTTTTTTAATTAGGTGCCTTTTTCTTAATCCTTGTTTTTGTTTTTGTTTTTTTTGACAGTATAGGACTATTGTGATCACTGTAGTTCTCCCACCATCAAAGCACCCTTTGTCCATCACTACAGTGTCTTTTGCTCTCCCCCACACCATGTTTTAATGCCTCCTCATCGCCCTCCCCACTGGGATACCCAGATCTATGGTCAGCTTTAAGGTTTGTCTTTGACCCTTTGTTTGGTTTCTCTGTGTTCCACATATAAGTGAAGCCATCTGGTATATATCTTTCTCCTTCTGACTTATTTTGCTTAGCATAATCCCTTCCAGCTCCATCCATGTTGCCACAAATGGCATGACTTTATGGTTCTTGATCACTGAGTACTATTCCATTGTCTATGTACCACTTCTTCTTTTATCATTTCGTCTGTTTGGGGGCATTTAGTTTGTTTCCATATCTTGGCTATTATAAATACTGCTGCAATAAACACTATTTACAATAGCTAAGCTATGGAAACAACCCCAAATGCCCAAAAATAGATGACTGGATCAGGAAGATGTGGTACATATACACAATAGAATAGTACTCAGCAATCAAAAAAAAATAAACTCATGCCATTAACAACAACATGGATGGAACTGGAAGGGATTCTGCTCAGTGAAATAATCCAGAAAGAAAAATAAAAAGAATGGATGGCTTCACTTGCAGGAAGAATGTAGGGGAACCAAATAAAGGATCTGGGGAAAAAATAATCATAATAAATTGAAAAACAAAATTAATAGGCAACTAAATCACACTCTACAGGGGAGGGGAAAAGAGAGGGGTCAGAACATGGGCAGGAAGAGCACAAGGGACTATGGTGATGGCGCACAGGTGACTTGGTGGTTATTTTACGGGGTGAATTATACAGGGACTACACCTGAGGAGAGAAAGCATACAGTGTCCAAAAGGAAGAATGATGTAATATATATATATATATATATATATAATGAAAAAAAAAAAAAAAGAATGTTCTAGAGGAAAAAAATAGTTACTTCCTCCATTCTTATGGAAAAAATACTACTGTAATAAACACAGGAGTACAGATTTCCTTTCAAATTCTCATTTTTGTGTACTTTGGGTAGATACCTAAGAGTGAAATTGCTGGGTTGTATGGCAGATCCATTCTTAGTGTTTTGAAGACCCTCCACACAGCTTTCCATAGTGGCTGCACAAGTGTACATTTGCACCAATAGTGTAAGAGGGTTCCTTTATCTCTGCACCCTCACCAGCACTTGGTGTTCCTGTTTGGGTTTTTTTGTTTGTTTTTTAATATGAGCCATTCTCACCAGTGTGAGATGGTATCTTATTGTGGTTTTGATTTGCATTTTCCTGATGATGATAATGATGATGAATATTTTTTCATATGCCTATTAGCCATCTGCATATCTTCTTTGGAGAAGTGCCTATTTGGCTCTTTTGCCCATTTTTGATTGGGTTGTAAAAAATATATTTGAATATTCCATATATCTGGTATGTTTTCCAGTAAAGTGATTTGTTCAACTCTAACTCAGCCTTTTTTCCAAATTTTCTGACCTTGGAATGCTTGAAAATTCTGCTAAATGGTTCCCCATTTCCATCTTCCAAGGACTCGGAAGCATGTGGCAGGTGACTTTCCCATGTATTGCTTTTCTCTAGGGAATTCTGTGTGGCAGCTGTTGACCTAACACAGTCCACAATCCATCCCTTCAGCTTTAAAATTCAACTGGCGTTTAGAGGGTGCTTAAACATGGTATAGAAAACATTTTTTAAAAAATCACAATTCTCACATTAAGTTTTAAGAAGATTAAACTGGTTTTTTTGTTTGTTTGTTTTTGAAGAACACATGTTCTCACAATGGTTACATCGACAGAGAAGATCAGATTATAACTACCAGTTTGCTTGGGGAACATGAACTTACAGCAAGAAGAGTTGATTACTTATTCTGAATAGCCTTTAAAATCCAGTTGTAATGACGTTTGCTTTTGTCTCCATTGTAAGAGAAATATCTGAGTAACTGGACATGGATGATTCTAAGACAGTATTAGACATATTTTTTTCCTCTCTGCTTTGCAGGCTCTCAAATTTCTTTTATTATCTTTTTCAATAAAATAATGCACATAATTCAAAAAGGAAAAGTATTTTAAAAATCTGTCTTTGCCACATCTTTCAATCCCCCTCCTTTCTCCTTACCCCTCCCTCCCCTACAAGTCCCATCTCCACAGAAATCATCTGGGTAGTTCTTTAGGTAGTCAATCTGTATATGCCTCTATAAATGGTATGCCTATTTCCTTTATTTTCTTATTGAAGTAACATTGCACTATAACATAAGTTTCAGGTACGCATCATTTAAAACCAATATGCATATGAACTACTTTAAGATCACCACTTAAAAGTCCAGTTCTATCCTTCATATTACAGTTGACTTCTTTTACATAATTCACTGATGCACCTTCCACCTTCTGCTAACCATTAATTGGTCATATGGTCTAAAAGTTTATTCTTGTTTCATATAGTTCATTCATTTGTTTGGTTGTTTTGTACCCCACATATGCTTGAAGTAGGTACCAAGTTTATCTTTCTCCATATGGCTTATTTCACTAAGCGTCATAGCCTCTAGTTTCATCCATGTTATTACAAATGGCAATATTTCACCTTTTATCTAATTAGATAGTATTCCATTTTGTATATATACTGCATCTTTATCCATTCATCTGTTGTTGGGCACTTTGGTTGTCTACAGCTCTTAGCTATTGTAAATAATGCTGCAATAAATGCATGGGGTACATACATCTCTTAAAATATATGTATTTCAAATATATGTATATGTTTTTGTATTTGGGGGTGAATAGAAGTAGGATAATTGGACCCTAAGGAATTTATATTTTTAATTTTTTGAGGAATCTCCATACAGCTTTCCTTAATGGCTGCACCAATTTTACAATCCCATCAGCAGTGTACACACAGGAAACAGAAATTATTCTATTTCAGTAAGAAAGAGATTTTACATAAGGAATTAGAGAGTTTAAAGGTCCTTGGAAGGAAGAGAAATATCTAGACTGGAATTATAAGCACTGCTCCTGAACTAGATAAGTGGGCAGTCTTTTTACTGAGGCATAATTTACATACAATATGATTCACTTTTTAAAATAGTTTTCACAAATCTATGTAACTATATACCATTATTTTCAAATGGTTCCATCATCCCCCAAATTTCAGCCATGCCTTTCCTAGTCCATGGCAAGCATGGATCTGTTTCTATGTACTTTGCCTTTTCTAGAATGTTGTGTAAATTGAATCATACCACAGGAAGTATTTTGTATCTGACTTACTAATGCTTTCAGAAATCACATTCCTGTGTTAATTATCAGTTCATTTGTTTATCAGTGGGTAATATTTTATTGCATGAATATACCATAAATGGTTTACCCATTCATCAGCTGATAGACATTTAAATTGTTAATTGTTTTTGACTATTATGAATAAAGCTGTTTGAGCCTTCATGTAGAGTTCTTTGTGTGGACATATATTTCTGGAGTAAATATATAGGAAGGGTATTGTTGAGTTGTGTGGTAAAAACTGTCAGACTGCTTTCAGGGAAGCTGTACCATTTTCATCCCCATCTGCGGTGTTAAGACAGCTTTATTTGTTCCACATCATTAGCACTTAGTATTATTAGTCTTGTGGATCAAATCTTAGCCTAGTTCCCCTTATACCCAAATGGTTATCTCTTCTAGATTTGCTATTGCATAATCAGCCCCATGCTGGATCCTCTATGGTACAACAAGTATATGTGTTTGGAGCTACTTCTTGGAGATGTCCAGGATGAAAACAACTTAGTATTAAGCTGAACAAGCTGTTATATATAAATCATTGATCATGATTTTGACTTGTATCTCACTGGGTTTTTTGTTTTAAAGATTTTTTTTTAAAAGATTTATTTATTTATACAAGCACTGGGTACAGTCAGAAGTGCAGGAGGGTGAGAGAATTCACCAAAGCCAGAGGGGAGAGCAGAGCAGGCAGACTGATGAAGCACACTGCTGAGAGGAGCAGCGGGCGGCAGGAGAGGTCTGCGCGCCATGTGGGACCCTTACCCGGTGGCCGGGGATCGAACCGGCGCTGCAGAGGCTGCGGGCAGCTTCGCAACCCAGCGCTCAATTGCTGCGCCACCGGGGAGGCCCTGTTTTAAAGATTTATTTTTATTTATTTATGTATACAAGAACTGGGGTGTAGGCCAGAGGAGACGGGGGGTGAGAGGATTCACCAGAGAGAGAGTGGGGAGCAGAACAAGCATATTTGACATACACTGCTGATGGGGGGCAGCAGGAGAGGTCTGCTGTGCATTGTGGGTTAGCTCCCTGGCTGGGAATTGAAGTCATGCTGCAGTGACTGAGATTTTCACCCCTGTGCCACCAGGGAGGCCCTGACTATCACTGGGTTTTTAATAACATGTAGAAACAATGTTTTTTTTTTTTTTTTATTTTTATTTTCAGGCTTTTTGATCATTCCATGGAAGGATTTAAAAACTGGGAGTTCATGACCATTCACTGCTGGGGAGAACGAGCCGCTGGTGACTGGATCCTTGAAGTTTATGATACCCCCTCTCAGCTGAGGAACTTCAAGACACCGGGTAAGAACTCCCTTTCTGTAATTTGATTTGCTAAATAGAAAAAAATGGTGGTGTATATTTTAGTCAAGGAGTGTTTCACATTCATAGCAACATTATCACTTTTCATGTGATTCTGTTTTGAATTGTCTGTCATGTATTCCAGGTCTCAAGATAACCATTTGAAAGTCAATTATTTAAGGATAAGAAACAAATAATATTTAGATAGAAATAAAAGATAAAATGTGACAACTATTGCTTAATGTTTCAGAATACACGATCCACATCTCAAACCAGCTTTCCTTAATTTTTGTGTCCATAAACAAGCCAGTCTTGTCCATTTGTACTAGATTGAATTGCGTAATCACAAGGGGAGACAGATTTTCTTAGTTACCTTTTATTTGAGTTTACTCTAAATTTAATTTTTAGTGCACTAGCTTGCCCTATCCTTGGTTACCACTAAGGAAAATCAGTAATGGCATTCTGCCCCTCGTGAGCCCAAGAGCTAAGGAAAATGAAAACTTTCTTGACATGTAAAACATAGAAATTATGTTAAAGGCCTTTTTAAGTAGTCCCAGATTCTGTTGCCACACAAGGCTTATCTCTCTCCTCCTGCTAACATACAAAACCTGTCTGTAACATGAAACATGGGAAAATACAAATGCAGTTTGTGGTGGGAGACTGAACAGCTTTTCAGCAGCCTGTGCTGCCCATGATGGCGCCCCCCCGCCCCAGAGTATGTGGAAAGATCTGTTTGACTACCCCAGCTTCCTGCCATGCTCTGGACCTGTCTTTGATCTGTTAAATTCATGTTTCTCAGTGCTCTGTCAGTCCATCTGCAAAAGAACCAGGCCTGAGGCCTATTGTGGAGCTGGTATCCAATTCTAGCCCTCTTCTGATTAAAGAATAAAGTATTAGGATGCTATTCAGATAGTGTGGGCTATGTAGGGCACAGGAGGCACACAGCAGAGCGCAGGGATCACGTGGTCATTGGCGAAACATTTGCCAGCCAGGAAATGTTTGTCCTTCTGAGTGATCCATTTAACCATACAGTGTGGACATTTCTTTTCTCCATTTCTGTGATGTGGTTCATCTGTGTTGCCACAGTGGTCACACAATCAGGGAGTTGAATACCAGCAGGATGGTACAGTCACAATGATTCAGATTAAATGTTTCACTAAAGAGAATCTGGATCCAGGTCACCTCCATATTCACCTACAGTGATGATAATGGTTACTAAGGTTTTTTGGGCTTTTGTGTGTGTGTGTGTTTAAGGATTTATCTGTGCATACAATAACTGGGATACAGGCCAGAGGTGCTGGGGGGTGGTGAGAGGATTCACCAGAGACAGAGTGGGGAACAGAACAGGCAGACTGACTGAAATACACTGCTGAGGGGAGCAGCAGGCGAGACAGTAAAGGTCTGCTGCGCCATGTGGGTAGCTCCCTGGCTGGCCGGGGATCGAACTCGCACTGCAGAGGCTGCAGATTGCTTCATAGTGCTGCGCTCAACCTCTTGTGCCACCAGGGAGGCCCAAGTGGTTACTAAAGTTTTATCCAGAAATCAAATGTTTGTCAAAAGGCAGGGTTCATAGAAGACATTCAAGTAAACTTGACTTGTTCATAATCTACTTCATTCCCAGGACTGCATCCTCCTCCCGTCCTCCACTCAGGTCAGGCTCATTGCTCCCACCATGGCAATGCCTGGGGTCTGGCACTTGGCAATGGCGGATGTTCCCTGGTAGTGCTCCCTGACCCATGCCAGCTCCTTGCTGACCCATCAGCATGGGTCACTAGCAGGTTCTTCTGTGTCAAGTGATCCCAGGGAAATAGACACTGTCAAAATATGATAGTTGTGTACCAAGGGAGATGTAGCCAGGCGTGCAGATTTATACAAAGGGTACATTGTCTGTTGAGCAATAACAGCAGATACAAAACTGACCAAAAGTGGCTCTGCTGTTTATTATCACCATGTACCACATGTGAAGAATGTCAGTGACAAAGTACCCCTCCCCACAAGAGCAGAATGCCCTAGGGCCATGGTAGTAGTTGATGTGGCATTTGCCTGTACTGGCATAGGCTCTGAATATAAATCTCTTCATCTTCAAATTGTTCAGAGTCTGTGCAGAGTTTACTACAAATATTCACAGCGCTGCTGCGCTCAACTGCCTGCACCACCAGGGAGGCCCAAGGTTTTTAATTTTTTTTGAAGATTTACTTATTTATGCATACAAGAGCTGGGGTGTAGGCCAGAGATTGGTGGGGGCAGTGAAAGGATTCACCAGAGACAGGGGGGAGCAGAACAGGCAGATGTACCAAAATACACTGCTGAGGGGAGCAGTGGGCAAGAAGGAGAGGTCTGCTGCACCATGCGGGTCACCTTCCTGTCTGGCCTGGGAATCAAACTCGTGCTAGTGGTGGCAATAGCTTGATAGAGTTGTCTTTAACCCCTGTGCCATCAGGGAGACCCTGCAGGGTTTTTTATTATTGGTTTGGTTTTGTTTTTGTTGTGCATTAAAACTACTTTGGTTTTGTTGCATTTTATTTTTGCAATTATAATAGGTTTTTCTCATTCTGCATTTACACAGCTATTTAAGAGAATGTTGTTATCAACTGCAAAATCTATAGACTTTAACAAGTAAATGAAGTGATAGTAGGAGAGGGAAATATAAATATGATGGTCTGAGTATGGCAGTATTTAATGTGATTTGTGTCAGAGATTCTAAGAAAATAAATTTATGTAATAGTTGAAAAATAAAGACAATTGCCCAGCAAGGGTATTCCCAGTGGGCCTATGATGGACTTCACAAATGGTATGGAGGGAAATGATCGATTATGAGATAACACTCTTCAAAGCATTTAAAAGGATAAACTTTTAGATCCAAAATGATCTTAAGTTAAATGAACCAGGTTTTGCAATTGGATTTCCTTGCATCATACATACCCATTGCACACTTGAGAGATGACATAGGAAAATGGGCTCTCTATTGCTTTACTACCTAGAATAGAAGCAAGTCATCAATTCTGAGTGATCATTCATTTCTCACCACTCCTTAATGTATACCACTTGGAATTCTGAGACTGAATAGCACCCTAATTAAGAAAAGCATAGCCATTTACAAGTGAATCCAAAGAAAAACTGGCAGCGGGTAAGCCACATATAAAACAATGCAAATGTGGGAAAACAGTGACATGCAGCATAAAATTTGTTCATGTTCCTTTGTCAAGCTCCCAAACTACTAGAAATGAACAGGAAGGCATAATTATCCAGTGGTTTAACAGCACATAATTTGGATTCAGATGAACTTTTACTTGAATTATAATTGACATTATATTTCAGATATACAATTATTTGATATTTGTATACACTGCAAAATCACCACCATAATATATCTAGTTAATATTCATCATGTTACATAGTTACAAAATTCTTTAATGTGAGGAGAACTCTTAAGACTTACTTTTAGTGGACCTCCCCGGTGGCGCAGCGGTTGAGTGCTGGGTTGTGAAGCTGCCCGCGGCCTCTGCGGCGCCGGTTCAATCCCCGGCTGCTCCCCGGCCACAGGAGGAGGGTCCCACATGGCGCACAGACCTCTCCTGCCGCCCGCTGCTCCCCTCAGCAGTGTACTTCGGTCCTTCTGCCTGCTCTGCTCCCCGCTCTGCTCTGGTGAATTCTCTCACCCTCCGGCGCTTCTGACTGTACCCAGTGCTTGTATAAACAAACAAACAAACAAACAAACAGACAAACAAACAAACAAACAAATAAATAAATAAATAAAACCTGCCTCTATTAAGAAAAAAATTACTTTTAGCAACTTCAAATGTACAGGATGGTATTAACTGTAATCATCGTGATACATTCATACCCCTTTTTAAAAAAAAGTATTGATTTGTCAGTCTTTTGCATATTTATATAACTTTGGTGGTATGCTTTCACACCTCTATATGTGCACATGCTTCACTCATCCTCCACCAACATTCTCTTGCCAAGGTCCTTCCCCACCCCCTACATCCTCCTCCCTTCCCCCTAGTCCCTCTGGTAACCAGTATATTTTTCACAGAATCTAAGGATTATTTTTTCTGTACTTGGGTTATTCATATTCCCCAAATAAGTGAAACCATATGGCATGTGTCTTTAACTTTTTGACTTATTTTACTGAGCGGAATCTCAAAAGCCATCCATTTTTGTCCCAAAAGGCACTATTTCATCATTTTTTTAATAGCTGAGTGATATTCCATGGAGTATATATTCCATAATTTCTTTATCCAGTGTACTGCTGTTGGGCGCTTAAGTTGGTTCCATGACTGGCCAACTGTGGACTGCTGCGAACATAGAAGTACATACACTTCCATATAGAGTGTTCATATTCTTTGAGTAAATACCATGCTGTTAATATTGCTAGATCATATGGTACTTCCATTTCCATTTTTTAAGGTATCTCCATAGTGTCTCCCATAGAGGCTGCATCCAGTTTCATTCCCTTCCACAGTGGATGAATGTACCTTTTTCTCCACATCCTTACCAACATTTGTTGTTTCCATTCTTTTTGATATAGGCCATTCTCACTGGTGAGGTGATATCTCCCAATGTAATTTTGATTTGTATTTCCCTTATAACAAGCAACATGGAACATTTTTTCATGTGCCTATAGGCCATTGAATATCTTCTTTGGAAAAGTGTCTAGATCGTTTGTCCATTTCTGATTACATTGATTTTTGTTGTTGTTTAGTTGTTAGAAATTAACCCTTTGACAGATGTATAATTGGCAGATATTTTCCCCCATCTGTAGCTTGCCTTTTTGTCTTTGTGATTGTTTGTTCTAAAGTACAAGTTTTTAGTTTGATGTAGCCGGACTTGTTTACGCTTGTTTTTGTGTCTCTTACCATTGGGCTTGCATCCCCCAAATACATATTCATACTGATGTCCAGAAGAGTATCACCTGTTTAATCTTTTAGTATTTTATAATTTCAGGTCTTATATCCAACTCTTTAATAGATTTGGAGTTAATTTTAGTGTATGGAGTT